CCTGTATTTCATGTTTAATACAAACTAAATTTTATATGTGGATAATCCTCGAATCGAGTCAGTAAATAGTTACGTATCATAAAGGGTGTGTTATATAAATAGCACCAATAAAGCTTCTCAATTAATATTGTTAAGCAAAATAACGTGTAATAGATGACCAAATTTACTTTATATAAGTACTATATTTCTATTTAATTCTGATATCTTAATTTCCATTATGCTAGTACTGATACTTTACAATCACGTTTGAAACACTATACGATCACTTTTGAAACACTATACGATCACTTTTCTTGTTTAAAGTTAGGCAATATTATTACGCTGCTAAACAATAAGTATTTGGAATCATTTGGCACTTTTGCCAACTTAAATTTATCCCATTCTGTATGTTAATTGCTATTAACAAGTGTCCTGTTAATTAACATGTTTATGACGTCACTTTATGACGTCAAACTTGAACGAACACTTGGACGTGAAGGTTTGACGTCATAAAAGACGAGAAGCGCTCTGACCACCATTGCGGTAAGCCGTTGTTTTCATTTCTCGGAAGTTTTCCGATTTTCTTTTATTTCCCCTACCTTATTTATTTTATATGCATGTTAATTATGAAATATGATGACTTAAATATTTAATACAATTCATAAAACTTACATTTGCCTTTATTCTCATTTCTTTTGTTTAATTTACACAAACGGTCCTGTGATATCGAACCGAAAGACTGTTCCCCGTTTACAAACGATTAGATATTAATTTTGTTTTTTGTAGTAGTGATACCTACAGGAAACGTATAGAGTCAGGTAATAGTTGTTATATGATTAGCACAAATAGAATTCCTCAGTTGAACGAAATATTGTAACAGAACGCCTAGGTTTTAATATTATAGAAAAAAAGAAGGTATGTCGCACGGCTGCAAGAATTATATTTCCTTTTATTGACACAATGACCCTGGGTGTCTAGCACAGGACATTATGTAGGTGCATATAGTTTGAGATAGGATATAGTTAGAAGGATATAGTTAGAATATTAAACGTCATGACAATCCAATAGAATGCAAATTACACTTTTAGTATTAGAGAATGTATAGTGTTGCAAAAGGAAGGTTGGAGATAACATACAAGAACTTCAAGAAAGAAGAGATAACGGAATTAGTATATTGTGAACGAATTAATGACTTGTCGAAAATGACAGGAAGGAGGCCAGCATGAACAAATCACTGAAACATTGCTCGGATTGCCATTTAACAGGCAGTTTCTTTCATTTAACTGTTCCTTAAAAATTTCTTATTTAAATTGAATACAAATAAAACCTGAAAGTCTCTTTGCCAATTGATAATGTTCTATAATAAAAGAAAAATATCCTACGTAGGAGATTAGAACATAAACCTATTAGGTGTTTATAACTTCTACGTAGGACTTAAAAATCCTATGTAGGAGATAAAAAAAATAACCCTATTATGAATTTGTAACTCCTTTGTTGGAGGTAAATCATAGACTTATATCTCCTGCATAGGACTTCATAACTCCAAGATAGGAGATTTAAAATATATAAATAAGAGTTTATGACTGCTACGTAGAAGAAATAAGAGCCTTATTCCTACATATGACTTTATATGTAATATACATCTTTATAGGACATACGTAGGAGAAAAAAACCACTGAGAACTTTATAACTCCTAAAAAGCAATTTTAAGTTATACGTAGGGATTAGGAGTCAATATCTCCAACGTTTTAAATTCCTTATCACACTTTTTAATTTCTTACGTAGGAGATAAAAACTCGTAATTAGGCTTTTTACCTCCTACCTTCATATATGTTTATGAATTAGCACCAGGGCGCTTCTGTAGTTTAGTTTATGACAAAGGATTGTGCCATACATAAGATAGACTGAGCAGTTGTCACCTGTAACGGTTTTTGATCAATTTAGAAATATTGTAATTTTTGATTTTCATTTATTTTATTTTTTATTTTTTTATTTTTATGTTATCGTATTCAATTAATAAATACAAAACGAGCATTGTTATAAAAAAAAGAATGGAGAAACATCTTTCAAAATATTTTAAATTAAAGTCGTCTTCATAATTGAAACATTTGCAAGATATCGTATAAAATACATCAGCGTAAATATATCTATCAATATACTGGCATCTGGCAAAGAGAGACGCAAAAAGAGACAACTGGTCCGAGCTTTCAACAAATCGACTCATAGCATCAAAGTTTAATCGTAAAACAATTGTTGGAAAATGATACCATAACCATAATGAGATTGGTTATCCACATTACTCGTCTAATTCTCTTTATATTCCGCACTGGTTGCCTCACAAAATTTGTGATCCTAGTGTTTACGTCTTCACAAATTTATTATATGTTGATTTGACATTTATTTTAGAGAAAAGTGAAATATACTGCTCAAATTCTTTTCTACGACCCAGCAACACATGACTACCGGCAAGGAGCCCAGCCGGACTAAAAACAAAAACATGACATGGCACAAGAGAAAAGCCTTTTCAATATCAAATCCGTTGATTGTATAGATTACCTTTTTTCTTAGGGAAAAGTCCGTTTTGTTTATTCTTCACGTTATGTATAAATGTCAAATTACTCAAGTCGTTTAAACCAAAGAAGAATAACAAACTGAGTACCCTGGTGGACATAGAGAGACAGGTTATTTCCACTTTGAAGAACACATCTATTGTAAAAAATTTACGTAACATTTATTTCGAAAAAGTGCTTTTTGTATTAAGTTGAAATCATGCAAAGTTCGAATCCCCAACTCCCTGCTGGTAGCTAGCTGGGGATTCACACTATTAACCAACTGAGACCCTTGATCGACTTATGGAGACATGATAATTCCATTTGGTAGTTTTCATATATCTTGTTATATACCTGGTACTTTTATTCTTGAAAATTACTGTTTAAGGAATATTCGAATAACCAACTACCTTCTGGCTGCTAGTTGGGGATTCACACGAATAACAAACAAGGTCCCCTCCTTTATTCTGTGTTTAAAAATGTATGATGCGTTCTAACATTCCATGCTGGTGATAGTGGATTGAATTATCTAAGTTTTGGTGTATTTAAAACTGAGGAGACGGTTTCTCCATATGTCTCCAGACTACTCCGGCCATTATTAGATCCGCCGATAACCGGCAGCCTGCAAACGGAAAAAATGAGTTTAATTAGTTGCAAACGTAATTAATTGTCTAGAGCCGCCCCCGGAGCTTTCTTTTCCAAGCTGTCTGTCGTCGGTAGTTTTTTTGGATTCATAATTCCTTCGCTCTGGAAAAATCTATAAAAAGATTGTACTTTTCGATTAAAGCTACTTAAAAGGGCCATTACACCTTTCGTTCCCGTTAGGTCACAACCAAAGTTCACAAACATAAGTATTTTCTTGCTGTTACCTATGCTATCGAAACGACAGTGCCGCCACGGGGATCGGAAGATTTTTGAATTCCACTTCCAAGCGTTAAATAGGTGGGAATAACGAATAACCAACTACCAGCTAGTAGGTAGATGGTTATTCGAATATCCAACTACGTACTACCAACTACCTACCAAATTGAGGCTCATTATAAATAGATACACGCCGTATGACCGGCGCCGCTGATAACAGGTAATTATGAAAATTGAGTTTATAATTATTTTGCGAAAATAAAGATAATTAAATTGCTATGAACTTACTGTCCATTAACTGGAGAAACATTCTGGTAATTCCTATGTTCCTATGGATCTCGTATTATACACATTTCGTTCACCCCTTGAGGTCCCTGAAGCCAAATTTCTACTACATAAATATTTTTTCTTGAAACTGTTACAGGCGTTTAAATTAGCTAAGTCAAAATAAAATGCTGCCGTCGCCGGCAGAATGTATTTTGACACTGCCGACGATGTCCGAAGCGCTCTGAAAGTAGCTTAGAACAAATGTTTTCAAGTTCGAGTCGCAAAAAAAAAAAGAAAATACGTAGCGAGGATTTATAGACATGGGTTTGTAAATGGGTGACACAACAGGTCAGACGTACGGCATTTGTCGTAGTGTAGCTATGCGTCACAATGAAAAGCTTTATTTTTTGATGCTGCATAAAAAAAACTTTTTTACCTTGAAAAAGTATTTTAGATAATAGTAATAAAACTCCGTTAGCATAAATATAATAAAAAGAGTGACTTGAAATTTCTAACAGTTTTGGCAGCATCAAAATTACATTTCTGCCACGATGGCAGCATTTTGTGTTTGAAAGCCTGTAACTTTTTTCAAGAAATATTTGAGTTTGGCGCTAATGGAGAATCCATCAATGTGAATATATTGTCTATGCATGTTTTCCCGGTCATATCAACAAACTATTTCTTAACTAACAACATCATAAGATATGAAACAGGAACTAATGGAATTTGTTATGTTTTTGCAATAATGATGCGACCGTAATAACATTGTTGAATTATTATCTTATGATCCACCTATTAAGACAATAGACAGTACAATGGTTATCCAAACTTATTTGGCCAACTTATGAAGGCACTGGAGAGAACCATTTTTATCGGCAAATTATTTCTTCTTCGGTTTTAGACTAAGGAAATTAAAAGAAGCCGTATATGAACAAGGCTGGAAATTAGTACTCTTGAATCTGATTTCAGCATCTTGTCGGCCGTTCCCAGAGATTAAATCGTCTGCTAATTGTCTCATTTAGACTAGAAATATTGTTTCATATAAAACCTGAATGACATTGGTGAAACCTTTTAATTCTTTTAATATTCTGTCGTTATCTCATAGGTACTTATGAAACTTTCAATAGGAGTGTAAGATTAAAATGAAAGGAAATAATTCTAAATAAATCAGTCACTGGTGAGTATTCAAGAACGCGGTTCAGTTCCTTTATTCAGGATATGAGTCCATCAAACTTGAGATAGATTACGTGTTACGCCGGGAAACAATGCAGGCTGTGCTTGAGGGTCTTCCATCGTCTTCCCTCACGCCTATATAAACCTAATCTATTTCCAGTTTGAATTATTTTGATTTCATTCTACTTTAATCAACACAGTTAATAATGTTTTTTTTGTAACGACGTATTCTTAAAACCTACTCGCATTAGTACTTAATAAAAATGGAGTTATAATATGATATTTAATTATAAATTAAGTAAACATTTTGTAACACTTTAAATCAAGAAGTAAAGCTATGGACGAAGAACAACCTATCAATTTTTCTATGGCAATTAAAACAAAATCTATAGATAATGAAGAGATTGCAATCGAAATTGACACGGAAGAAGATAAAAAGATAGAAACTGACATAGAAGAAATTGTTCCTATCTCAACAGAGGAACATAAAGACGAAAGTGAAGCAGTGCCTTTGAAGTTTTCCATATCAAACATCCTAGGAATAACAAAAGAACAAACGGCTACACAAACAAAAGGTAAGTTAAATAGGTAATAAAATGAGCCGCGTCATGACAAAACCAACATAATAGGTTTGCGACCAGCATGGATCCAGACCAGCCTGCGCATCCGCGCAGTATGATCAGGATCCATGCTGTTCGCTATCAGTTTCTTTACTATAGGTTTTCTATAGGTTATACGGTTTGTAAGCGAACAGCATGGATCCTGATCAGACTGCGCGGATGCGCAGGCTGGTCTGGATCCATGCTGGTCGCAAACGCGTTATGTTGGTTTTGTCATGGCACGGCTCAAATACTTTATCAAAAAGCGCATGCAAAGTAAATGTATTAATATATTTCAAAATCTGGTACATGAAAATGTAAATCATAATGTTATAAATCTAAATATAAAATCAAGTGACATGGTTGAGTGGTTATCGTGTCGGACTATTAATCTAAGGATCGCTAGCCTTGTGAGTTCAAACCCCGTCAGGGGCAAGTCGTTGTATCTTTGAGCAAATTTTATACTCATTGCTCAGTTCTGGAAACAGATCCGAGTGTATGTAAGATTATAGTTTCCTACACAATCAAACTAAAATCAATTATCAAGAAATGATGATAATTCATTGACAGATTTGCAGTGTTATAACATGTTATATGTTATTGATTTTGTTGTTGTCTTTTGTGGCTGTTCTGTTTTGTCTACATCCTGGGTTTGAACTTTCAATTAAAACCATTTGTAAAGAAAATTATTCATTCGTATCAGACATAATGATTATATTGAGCAATGCATATTGTATTCGAGAACAGAGATGAATAGGAAACCCTTTTACAATGAATCAAGCCAAAAATCTTTGATCAGAAACTAAATTTTATGAAATCAAAGGTGCATTTTGGTATTTAACCGACTTTTGTGAAAAATTCCCTTTTTTAAACAACCATTATTAAGGAATTTGATGTATTTGTGGCTCCAGTTAACTGGAAAAAAGCAAATGGCCTCAGCTTGTATTTTGGTTTAAAGGAATTTATTTAAAGGCCCATTATGCCTCAGAAATACTATAATTTTTATTTCTTAAAACCTGTTTATTTTTTGGTATCTTGCAACAGATTCCAATAACATGTTCAAATGCTATATACATTATCTATTTTTTGCATCTTAAGCTCTGATTGCAATTGGTATAATTATAAAGAATTAGTATTTTGTATGGCAGTCCAAATACTATTTTGTTAAAATTTTGCTACCTTTCAATACTGCATGTTCAGCGCTATCTTTTGCAGTTGAAATAACATCTCATATGCTCTCGATCCGTTATTTAAACATTATTTAACACACGTTTGACATTTCTAAAAAAAGTGGATTTCTGAGGCATAATGGGCCTTTAAATAAACAACACGCACTATATTTTGCAGCTGATATCCAGAACAGACCATCGCTCGCAAAACTTATCCCACAAAAACTTCGGCCCACGTCGCAAAATAAGTGCGGTTCCAAAACGAAACGTAACCGCACAACATTTACAACAAGACAGTTACAGGACCTAGAAATTGCTTTTAGAAGAACTCATTATCCTGATATATTTATGAGGGAGAAACTGGCTACAAAAGTACATCTACCCGAGTCTAGAATACAGGTACATGTTCATAGTAATATTCTATTTCTATCTCATTTCCTGCATTTAAAAGTAACGTTTCTTCTCAGGGTTGTGGTTGTGTAAAATAGAACAAAAACTGAATCCCTAAAGAACGGCCAAAACGACCAAATTAAAAATGTTGCTAGTTCGGTTTGATTGAGTGTGTTCACGGACGGTACTGGAAAGTGCAAGTAGCATTCCACGCCCTCTAGCACCGGCTTAAGAAGAGCATTTAATCAAAGTTATGGTACAATTTATTTTAGTTGTTTGTTGTTGTTTTTACAACAAATCATTTCGTTTTCCTTAAATAATTTTCATTGACAAGTATTTTGCTAAATATGGGACATACACACCTCATTAATATTTATATTATATATATATTATATATATATATATTATATATATATATATATATATATATATATATATATATATATATATATATATATATATATATATATATATATATATATATAATATATATAATATATTATATATATACATGTATTATTGGTGTGTTGACATCTGGTTGACTTAAAGCTAGTTCAGTAATTATCAATGCATTATACATGTACTACTTTTCTGAATGTCATGTTCTTCTAATGGTGTTATTAACAACGATGGAAATGTCAAAAAAACACAAAGCTAATGAAATGAATAAATGAACCGAGAGAGACCAGTCATTGCCATTATTAAATTAATAAACTCAATTAATTGCCAGTATATAATCATTTATCACAAGTACAAAAATACTTGTGGTATTAAGGTACTAAATTATTTGGAACATTCACGGTATTACGGTACTAAATTATTTGGAATATTCACGGTATTACGGTACTAAATTGTTTGGAATATTCGTTCATTTATATTTGCAGGTATGGTTCCAGAATCGGAGAGCTAAGTGGAGGAAGCGGGAGAAACAAAGTGCTCATCTTGTGTATCCACGTTATCCATTTCCCTTTACACAACAACAAACACCGTTCAAGGTATGTATCCATGCGCATATTGTGGTATTTTACCAACAGAAGCATCGTCAATGTACAGGTACTTTTGAAATTACAGGAGCAAATAATTGTTGTTTTCTTTGTAGCTCCCTCTTACATTTAATGACACACTGATACTGGCTTTGTTCTTTCAATTGCTTTATGAAGGTTAACTAAGTAGGGCAATAGCAAAATTTTAAACAAAAATGAAGTACGCAAGTTGTCAGATTATCTGTAAGAATAATACATTCATGTATTGTGAAAGTAAGCGTTTTTCAACAACACGACAATGGTTCAAATATATTTTATGAATTATAAATGTAAACAATTTACATGTTATAAAGTGGAAGGGTTGGTCTCTTTTCTTCGTCTGCTTACAAGACAGCCGGTCACGGTTCACTACTTTGTCAAGCCCGAGTACTTTTCACTAAACATTCGGTAGTAAAAGGCATACGATTTTAAGGAACAAATGCGAGTTCTAAGCTAAACAGATAGAAGAAAAAACAAATTGACGATCATAACAAAAAGTTTGTTGAATTAAAGAATACAAACACTAATGTATTAGCCTTGAGAAAATCATAGGGAAAAGAAAACTTTCAAAATACATTATTATATCTATTCGTTAAGGCTTGACTATAATCAGTTTGAAAACAAACGGTTTCCATTCGCTTTCGATGTTTAGTCTTCTTCAGAAAAATTGATGTTTATAAAATGACAAATGGCGCAACGTCCGTTAACTATACACCATATTTTTTTTAAAGGTTGTCTAAAATAATAGATGTAAATAACATTTAAAGAAAAAATATTTTTAAGAAAAAGTATCAAAGAAAAATATCAGCACGTATCAATTCCAGCTTCGAACTTTATCAACAGTCCGGTTGAAACTTTTTCTTTGAAGAACATATTACATAAGTCGTTCATAAAACGGCAGACTGACAATAGCAACAAAATAAATTTACAATATTCTTGTAAAAAAATCTGGAAAAAGGGTAATCACAACAAAATACATGTAACATGAAAATTGCAGACTTGGTTTCATCGAGTCTGTACATGAGGGATAATGAATAAGTACAACATCTCTCACACCCTCTAGCACCGGCTTGAGAGGTACTCAATTTTCAACACTTCGCACATGTATATTATGTAAAATATAAATATATATTGTTATATGATTCTTTGCTTATTTGTTTGTAGTTTTTTTCCTAATATTACTTATGTCAACGTGAGAAATTGTAATCTAAAGCCTCCTCTTAAAATATTTTTGGTATAAGAAGTTACCGGTAACAACTTTAGTGAGGTCAGAACAAACCTTGAACACAATGGGGAAAGATGTGTATCAAAGCTGGCATTTGATTGGATAAACAATAAATTCTGTTTTTATCAGTCATTTCTTTTAATGTTTTTAGGCAGAAAGAAGCTTCTTTCCCGTGATGTCGTCATCAAGTATTTCGACTGGTTCTGGAATCACAACCGCAAGCAAGGCGTTTCCTAAGTTACCACTAGCAGTTTTACAGTCGATGATGGTGATGAATTTCGACCAATCAAAACGGCCAATATCTACTTTTAAACAAACAGACATGAGTCCACAGTTTTAATCGAACATACATTTCTAACATTACATAAAATATGTTGTAGTTTATGTATTTAGTACGACTTTCCCAACGAATTTAGTATCGTACATGTACGTAAATTTATTAAATGACACATGTTGTGCAGCATGTTTAGGCCCAAAAATATCACTCAAGGGCGGGATTTTATGTGAAGAAGGAATAATAACATCTTAAATATATTTTTCCAAGCAACACTTGGATATTACTGTGTAATATCGATTGCAAAAGTTGTTGTTTTTTTTTTTTCTTAAAATATCATATATTCCAATATAATTCCAAAAGTTGATAATATTTGTCAGTCGCTGTTTCAAAAATAAAACTATGTCAATGTTAAGTACGATACCGGCTTCGTATGTTTTAAATTACGGCACAGAAGGTCCCTTGCAATGTTAATACTATATTGCAACATGACTGTGTGGGTCTTTACAGACATAAGAACATATCCAGTAACCAAGTTGGAAAAGGAAAGTCAGGTTCTGAATGGTTCGTCCAAATTAAAAGCTCTTTCCAACAAAGGAACAAACTGTTGAAAAATTAAGAAACTAGGTTGAATGCATATTTGTCAAGTTTCAAGTTCTAAGTTTTATTTTTCAACTAGGTCCATTAGGGGACCAGTGTGATAAACATCAAATTTCACATTACAAATGAGCAATAACAACAAAATAATACAAATGTGTAAAAACGCTTGTAGTCAAACAACTGTAATTTGCATGATTAATACAAAAATAAGACTAGAGATACTTACGTATGACTTATAGAGATGAGAGACTAGAAAGAGATAAAATACTAGTAACATAATGCAACAACACCATGAAAATTCCTGACTGAAAACACAAATGAAGTGAAGAGGTGCCATATTGTAATCACTCCATGCCCATATAATTAGTTCCACCGACATTATATAGGAAGTGTCATAATGCGATTACAAATGTCATAAGACGTTACATACGAAAAAATAATAAATAAATAAATAATAAGATACATAAAAAAGATAAATCAAATAATGAAAATTATGACAATACTTGACAATAGAGACTCACTATAAGGCGGTAAACATTATTTCACAATATATATTATTTTTGTGTAAAAACAGACATGTTGACTAATACAGTTCTATCAGTACTTTGAAATAATTGCTTTTCATTAAACATGTTTCCTCTTCGTAAATTAAGAGTCAAGTACTTTCTATGATAAATGTCAACATGAGGACACTTAAAAACATAATGAAACTCTTCACCTGATAAAGAATTATTTGGTCAGAGATGACAATAACCGCTTTGTCCGTCCGTCCGCATATTCTTGTCCGGGACTTTGAACTACAAGAAACATTGTAGGTAGATAGATCTCATTAAGTAGAAGTGCAATGCAACTCTGCTTTGCTTAACTTTGGAGTACTTGGGGTTTTTTTTAATTCTTACATTTTGAGCTTTGTCCGAGACATAACTCTGAAACGACCAGGGGTATCAACTAGAAACTAGATAGATCTCATTGAGAAGAAGTGCTGTGCATAAAAGCCGTAACTCTACCTTGTCTCATTTTAGAGTTATGGCCTTTTTTTTCATTTTTACACTTTGAATTTTGTTAGGGTCATAACTCTGAAACTACAAAAGTATCAACAAGAAACTTAGTAGGCTGAGTAGAAATGCAATGCACAAAAACACTCTGTGTTCAAAACTGTGTTCAAAACCTATTTGGAGAGCATCACCCGGTTCGATCTGGCGATTTTTTAAGCTTTGTATTGATTGTAGTCGCTTGAGGTCGCATTTTTATCATTACCATGATACCACAGCATCCCTTCTTAATGGAGAGTTTTTTTCTGTTTAACCGGTGCTTTTTATCGAACGTTGAAGGCTAGACTTAAATTGACAGTATGCTCATTTTTTCATAGTCAAGTTTTAATATTTCCAAAGATTAACTATTAAAACGATGATTGACTAACAGCTGTTAACTGGAAAGTGTTTAGGATAAACTCTGCCTAAAATATAAATTGAAAATTACAGTTTAATTCTGATGCATATTTACAAACTTTTCCTTGTGACATATGAATTTTATTATTTATTATTTTAGATATTATTAAACTGGATGGAATTATGGTAAAATGAAAACTTATTTTGATTTTCACATGTTCCTTCCCCATAAATCTTTGGACGGGCATAATGTTACTTTACGTTCAGACAACTACAAATGGTCATTGATTATTTAAATGTCTCAGGTCAATATCATCAAACAAAAAGCTAGTTGTTGCAACTAATCTTAACCAGCACAATAAATCATATATTAATAATAAAGCATAGTCGTACCGAGAAAAACACAACAATTGCTCTCGCGTGTTGAATCGATATGAACTGATTAATGAGCTTAAGAAAGTCAACTCGCAATCGCAACAAGAAATCCTCAGAATATCATTCTAGTTGTTTTACTCTCAGATTAGATCAATACTGATGAGCTTAGGGCGACTGAGTCATGGTGACTCTCGGTTATTTCCGTGTATTATTCGTGTTGTTGCATGTTATGATCGCTTTAACCGTTCAGTCGGCTATTTCTGTAAAATCTGAATTGTGATAGACAAGAATATCAGGTCGCGACAATGCTCAAATTTGATACTTTAAAATATTGATAATTGCTGTACAGTCTCTTTGTAAATATAGAGAAAACATGTTTCGACTACACACGAAGTAGATATGTAATGTTTTAAACTCTACAGACTATAGGTTGGCACAATTTGAATGAATAGTGTCATTAGTTTTTTTGGGTTTTTTTAAAGCACCAACTTCATTTGACCTGTAATAGGGAATGCAGCTTCACATAATTATAGTTTGTACATTCATTATTCAATTTAGACAAATTAGAAAGAATTTCATAATTTTCAATAATTTTTTGCGATAAAGATATTGTACTCCAAGATGAGTATACAGTAGCATATCTTTAAATAAATGACTGAAAGACAAACATCATACTCGACAATTAAGTAATATATAGGCAATTGTGGTAAGAAATAATGAATAATTGCATGTAGCAGACCGCATGCAGATAGATGCTATGTTTAAATATTCGATTCGGTTTGTTTTTTGTTTAATAAAACAGGTCTATATAGTTCTAGTAAATCAACAAGTGTAACGTTATTAATACGTCGTGTAAATTAGGAAATTGCAATGATCTTATTCGCTGTGGACTGGAGCCCTTAATGTATTGGAAGTGCCCGTGAACTGTTTTGGTACATGGAGGCTCACGTGATATTTAAACTCTACATGATTGTTTAATTAATTTTGTATCGGTAATTATAATATTTTTGTAAGTATACATCTTTATGAAAAAAAAGAAAGATAAGAAAATCGTGTTGGCATTTGTTTTCTAGTTTTGTAATATAAAAAAGATAAAATAAAATGTAATAAAATTGTCTAGCGAACTCGTATCATTTAAGAAACAACTGTCCTTAAAGTTATATTCATTCAAAAGCATTTGTGACTTTTGGGTCATTATAAGTCGACAGTTTAAAAAGGCTCTTTGAGCTAGGCTATTTGTAGAATCACATCCGTTTATGGGCTCGGTCCCGCAACAGATGAAAGCATTTATTCTGTATTTTCAAGTATGTCTATTACGATATAAACATAAACTAAAAATTTTCTCCCCCGAATGACACACTTAATTAATAAGTTGAAGAATGATGGGTTTTATAAACTGTTTTGATGGTCTTGGTCATTTTTATATGCTCATTTGACACATTCAAGAAAAAATGACGACAAATATTAACCTGTCTGCATTACATAAATACTATAGGTTTTCATCACACACCCGTGCCGCGTTTGCGACTCCGTAAAACGAAATTGCACGGCCGTGCATATATTTTGACGTGACGTCATTTGCGTTATATACAAAACATAAAGTAATAAATGTTGGCGTCACACTATAAGTGCGTCAATGAAACCGTGATTATTTTTTTTAATTTTCTTTTACCGAAAACAGTGCATATTTTTGGTATGTGATAAATGGAATATTATATTCGTGTTGGTTCATAACTAAATTTATTGAACTTGTTAAATAAAATTATATTCTTCTCTTGAGGCTCGCATGATATACTTTTATTCAACTTGTTCAATAATTTTAGTACTGAACCTACACTCATTCAATATGTATTGTATATCTCATACTCAATGTGTTAGTAACATGTATGGATATTTTATCTTCATGCTACGCAAGAACATTTAATTACAAATTATCAAAGTATTTTCCAATTGTTTAAAAAAAAATATTTATTAAAATTCTTAGTGTAAAACACAAAATTTGAGCCGCGCCGTAACAAAACCAACATAGTGCATTTGCGACCAGTCTGATCAGGATCCATGCTGTTCGCTATTAGTTTCTCTATGTATGCGAACAGCTTGTGTCCTGATCAGACTGCGCGGAATGCGCAGGCTGGTCTGGCTCCATGCTGGTCGCAAACGCACTATGTTGGCTTTGTCATGGCGCGGCTCAAATGTCAGTACATCATTTCATGCGTTTTTCACCCGTTAGGTTGTTTAAGCTTCCTGGAATGAACATTTTCCGCTCTAAATGACCTGTGAATTACATAACATTAAAGTGGCATTAATCTTTCTCGGCTTATTTATATTTCTTTATGGGTTATGTCCCTTCTTCATAGGTGTTTTTAAAAGAGAAAGACTTTACAAAACTAACATTTATATATATACATCAAAAAATAAACAATATTCACTTGATTATAAATATAATCATTACATTTCAATTTTAAACAAATGAAAAACGAAAATAATTAAAGTTTTAATTTATTTCATGAAAATACTACATTCATTACTACAGTCATTTTACTCTTAACTAACTCACTGTTTGTGTGGTACTATTGTTGATGTTGTTGTTGTTCTTGTGGATTTTTTAGCTCATCAGTTCACAAACTTGAACGCTCTAACAAAAACAGCACATGATAACGTTTACTCTTACGCTTTTACAAAATGCACCACAATGGGGTCAATACCTTCAATAACTTAAAGAATTATTGTAATACGTAGGAGATTCGTCCAGTATAAATACAAATGAGCCGCGTCACGACAAAACCAACATAGTGTGTTTGCGACCAGCATGGATCCAGACCAGCCGGCGCATCCGCGCAGTCTGATCATGATCCATGCTGTTCGCTATCAGTTTCTCTACTTGTAATAGAGTTGATAAGCGAACAGCATTACTAGAAACTGATGACTAGACAAACACGTATTCCCAACTTCAAATTTTCATCTTAATATCCCAAAAATTGATGATGGACAGTTACAAAAATGGAAGCTGGAGAAGCCAATTAAAGAAGTTCAGCAGGTTAAACGTTAACTA